ATAATATGAACAGTTTTGAACATTTTATTATTTTATTCCCGGTAAACTCAATGGATTTCTTATTTTCATAGTTGACACGAGGCATGTCGAAGTTATTAAACGACGCGTACTGTTATTCAATGTAAATCAAAATCTGATGACATTTTAGTGAAATGCCGCGAGGAACAACTACAACCACGGCTCTTCGTCGTGAATTTCGTATTTATATTTTATTCAGAATATATACTTAAGGGACGTATTACTAGCATTTTGGATGGGTAGAATAAAAGGAAATATTCGTCAGACGTCTATAAAATACGCTTTGACAGCAAAATATTCTCATTTTGAGGCATGCCCGCAGACATAATATATCAACAGGATGTCGGTACCTACGACAGCTGTTACGACTCATTCTCGGTAAGCCATTCGAATCAATGCCAGTAATTCAGATGAAAAATCCTCAATGCTTGTCCAGGGTAAGTACAATACAATATTACAAAATATGCGCTGCATTAGGTATTATCGTATTTGGATTATATCCAAATCGGGGTAAAAATAAAACATAACTGGAAGTACAAAATGTTTTGTACCGTTGAAATAACAATCTTCTTATCTCCGGTCTCCGGACCGGAATAATGTATGTTATGACTTATGATGTATAAAATATGGATGATCGTCTGTCTCTGATACTTAGAAACTATTGGATTGTTTTCAATAAAAATGATACCATTAGATTCCTTGACACTTGGAGAACGTTTATAGCTTATTTTTTCACTCCTATAGGTCTAGTAAAGGGTAGATCAAAAGTGAATGTCGTTCCGGCTCACGAAAATAGATAATTCATATGATATTATAATATTAGAAGAAATATTTCATATACATTTTTTTACAAATATATTTATAAAATATAAAAGGGATCTTTGGCACGGGCACCGTTGGGTGAGAGCTGGTATAATATAATTTTGAACAGCTATTGTATAACCAGTTAAAATAATTAAACACGTGTTGTACATTGTAGTAGTATTATTAAATTGTACCATTTTTCTAACAACCATTACGAATGTACTTAAAACGTATACAAAAAATAAAAGTAAAACACTGTTTGATTGATCTTTTAAAAACAGTTCTACATAAACTCGCTTTGAAAGTGTTTCCATAATTTTTAAAAACTTCATGACCAAGTCTTGTGTGAGCAAATCATTATTTTAAAAATCATCAATTTTGGAGGATAGAAAATACATTCAGAGATGCTTTATGCAGAGATGCTAATAAAATGTATAAAATAAAAAAAATGTATATTATTTGTTTAAAAATATCTACAGATAAGATGCAAAGTGCTGCAAAGTTAATCCGTTTTGAATTCACCTTAAAAAGTGGTTATTTAAAATGAAAATAAAGTGTGCGTAATAATGAATTAATAATAATACCTATAGAAAAGTCTTAAAACTAAATAACATTTTAATACATAGAATTAAAAAAAATATTTATAAAATATTACAGTATAACAACTTATTACTTTTCATAGTTTGTATCATAATCAAATAGTCCAAACGAAAGTTTTGAATCTGCCTTATCCATGAACATTTATAGGCAATTTATATAAGCAATTTCATTAATAAATATTTTTTATAACACTTTATAAAGTATTTATAGCACTAGTACATCTCTATAGTACTTCTACATCACTTAGAAGATAATAAAAATATGTGGTAATAAGTATAAGTATTTGATATAATTTTTAGATAAAAAACAGAGGATTTATTTAATATGTTTTTTTTTTTTAATAATTCAATTATAATTTGAACTATTGAATGAAGTATGAAAAATTATAAATACTACCTAACCATATTGATTTGAACATTCTACTGGTGTTTTTTATTTCATGTTTTAATCGTAGATACAATTTAATAACAATCACAAAAGTTACAATATTAATGTTCATTATTTATGTAACTAATGTATATTTTGAATCGCATCATCCTTAATAATAAAGTTTAAATTGTATCAGATTAAAAATGTAATTTAAAAGATAATCAAATGTATAGAAGATGATAATATTATAAATATTAAATAAACCATAATTAATTATTCGTTAAACTAAAACGCAGTTGAATGTTCTAAAAACATGGAAGAAACGTTACTTCCTTTATATTATAACTTAAGCTAAAATTTCAATTATTGTTGCTGTAACCATCAGTCTTTGTTACTTGAGTGATTGTATGTCATGATGTGGAATCTAGTAAATGGATACCTTTGGTCCTTATATACTATGAATGTGGTCTGATGTCTCAAGGGGTGAATTGTGTCAGATATCAATAAATCAACCTCATTAATCTTAAGAACATTATTTATTTATTTAAGAGACTCTGGGTGAAAACTATTAATTCAACTAAACCGTAACATTTGCATAATTGATACACAATACAAAATTTATAATATCCATATAAATAATTGATATTGTTTTTTTACACAATATAAATTGATTTTTAGTTTTTAATTATTATTATATTTTATAATAGTCTGCTTTCTTTAGAGTTGATTTTTATAAACACAATAAACATCATTTTATTAAACTTCTTTGTGTCGTTGAAATTATTTCGATTTCAAGTTTTTGAAATTAAGGTTTACTTATTACTTACAATAACTATATACATCTATAATCTATATCTATACTCATACCAAAAACTATTTGTATGTATGTTCGACCGGAAATTACTTGAAACTACTGGGTAGATTTTGAACAACGTTTTTTTTTAAATTGTTTCATATATTTTAGAAATAACATAGGCTATCTATTAGATAAATAATAGTACCAAGCTGTATTATCAGACTTTTCCAGGTTATGATCGGGAGAAAAACCAACAATATAATATAATACCGACAACTTACAAGATTATTGGCAGGAAAATTAAATAAAAACTAAATGAAGAGCGATGAATAATATAATGTTATGATTTTATAAGTAGTGTTGAAAATAACAAAAGTAACGTATTTTACTTTTGTTGGATTTCTTCCATATAGATTTAAAAGAGTTATAGGTAGCTCTAACCTATGATTGTCTCACCCTCGTACAATCTAAGCTAATAAAGACGTTCACCAAAGGCAATTGGATCTGCAGCGCATTAACCTATGTGATGAGCGATGGTAAAAGCTTATTTAAAGTTCGTCACTTCTTTAATAGAGAATGACTAGAGATTCCATAATAATTATAACGTTTTAAGTATCGTGCGCCAGTGGCGTGTTTAGGTTTTAGTCTTGGGGGAGAGGGGGTATGACTTTATTCAGTAGCCTCCCGCCTTTAAAGTTAGAAGCCTTTATAGTTAGCACTCCGAAAACTTTTGCATATTATAAACAGCCTATTAGGGGATTGATCCCATTGATACCCCCCGTAAATAAGCCACTGTCTCACAGTGTTTTAAAATCGAAAAAAGCTGGAATAAAGTCTATCAAAAAAAATTATTTTTAAATTACAATTATTGCAATTTTTCAGTATACTACTTGGTTAATAGTGTATTAATAACTAAAAAATTTCAAAATAATAAATTTCTCATTGATGTAATCACTTTTCTGTTGAAAAAGAACGGAATTTAGACAAAGTTTAAAAAATTATCACAGTTTGTGTATAATTAATAAGTAAATTCTAATACCATGATTCAGAACAAAGTTGTTAAATATTTGTTAGTTTATAGGGTAAAGGTTTGTATACATTTATTTTTGTCAACAATAGTTTTATATTCTGTGATAAATCTGACGTTCAATAATTATATCAGTTATATTAGTCATTAAAATAAAGAAAATAAGAGATTTAGATAGAGTTGTCCCCTGGGTATCCATCTATTTTCATATTTTATGATAGCTTACAATCTCCACATTAATTATTAATATAGTGTAGAATTTGGTTGCACATATTTGCTCCATTCTTAGTTACCTACGACAATACTCGTATAAGTAATTTTTTATACGCTGATTTAATTTGTAGTTTTCTATCTTCGGATCCAAAAATAAGCAGACTTCATGAAGTAAAGAGAAGAAAAAGGTCCTTTAAAGTAGAAAAATTATTTGATACAAACATTTCAGATACTGACACAGATGAAGACGAAGACATGGATGCTGAATACCTAGTCTTGAATTTTAAAATATGAACCAAATAACTAATGTTTACCTGTTTATTTATTTATTTATTGCCAAATATGAAAAAAAAATTAGAATGTATGTGTAAGTATATAATTAATGATTCGATAGTATTTAGTTTTTGTATAATGTAACATTTGAAAATAATTAGTTTATTCCAGCTTTTTTCGATTTTAAAACACCGTGTCTCGTGCACTGATCCTTATATAGAATAGGTATAAGAGTAAGAATGTCAAACGATTACAAATAAAGCTCGATCGGTCGCAAACACATTTATTGGTGCCAAAATAATCATAAAACAAAACACTTTGCATATGTGACCGTTGTAGCTTCACTTCCGGAAAACCTTTACACCTACGGCGTTCTACGCTCTTGCCGAGTTTCCCAACAACAGCGGGACTTCCTGTGGCTGCGTGTGAGGTGGTGTTAAATAGTAAAATTTAACGTCAATTCAACATATTTTGCTTCGCTTGCCTGACCTATTTTAATTACTTAGGTACTCGCTAAAATAGATTCTTACACGAATACTACATAATAATTAATAATATGTATACATACATGATATATCATAATATAATTTAAAATTTACAACCTTCTACTACAATATATGGCACTTATTAGTGGATGCGCCGGGAGGTATTGGAAAAATGTTTGACAATTCATTAAGTTTGGAAAATAATAGTTGTAAAAAAAAAATCACCACTGCAGTTCTCTCATCAAGCATAGCTGTGACTTTTCTAACATGTGCACGTCGCATTCTACCTTCAAACTACCTATAAATGTATAGTATAATCAAAGTGCTGTATGCTCAGACTGCTCAGTTAAAAAAAAATAGTGCTATTGGCCACATTCTCCAACAAGCATCTTTAATAGTTTGGAATTAATGCACGATGTCTCACAAGTCCCATATAGATCCCGCCAATATGCAGACCTTTAAATACTTAACATCAGAAAAAACTATGGGCGGTGTAACATTTGTCGTCTTAACCTGGAATTTCGGGCAAACATTACCAGTGGTGCATAAAGGTACACGTTCCGGCATTATAAATCTGCGTTTGAAAAAATCAGAAGTCTGGAATGGAAGCATGTCAAAAGACTTCAACTAACTATTAATATGACGTATTGTGAGTACGAAGCCTCCAACGTTTAGAAAGATTTACACGTGGCATTTCTTTTTCGACACACTCGCCAGTATCAAAAGACGGTGGATATAACGGTGTTCGTTTAACAGAGAGTACAGTTAGTTCCATTGGAGCTGCGGTCACAGTCGGTTCCAAAGGTACAAACGGATCTGTGGATGTCGGCCGTGTTTCGTAATTGGTAAGAGTGGAATTTATCGGATGGCTGAAAGTCCAGGATTTGTATGCCGCAGCATGTTTTTTTTTGCTATGTTCAAATGGAGCTCTAATGAGTAATCTCCACGATTTATATTATTTAAATGGTGCTATTTTTATTTTGCATGTTTTTGCATATATTGAGCTTAATGCATATTTATGCATACTTATTTTTGCTACAATGATCTTATTAATTATTTATTGCATTTAAGCCGGCAATAATTAAACTGATCAATGTATATAACTTGGCTTTTTTGTCAAACATAAATTTTAAAAATGTAATTATAACTTATAACCTTGAGCATGATCATAAAGTTTTTCCAAGTACGTTCCTGTGGACCAGTATCTATATCTGGTCATCTACGAAGCCCGGTGTGGTGATTAATACCAATTATTTGTGCAGGCTAACTCGACTGTAGGTGCAACGTATAGGCAATTTTACTACATTGGTGTGTTTATCAATAAAATTATAAGAATCGAATGTTTAATAATTGAAGTGTTACGAATGTAGATATATAATATTATATTGTTGTATTTTCGCTGCAGCTGGTCTAACATAGTGTAAGTGAGTACCCTTGGCCGGGAACATTTATATTTACGTGATTGAATATTTCTAGTTGAAATTATTCTGAAGATGCAAGTTATATCTTGTTACGTTGGTACCAATGATTTGGTGGGTTGACATATTTTTTTGAACCCAGAAAAGTTTTTATTTGTTGAGTTTGAGCAAACATATTATTTAATTAATAATATTCTTATTATAATCCTACAAAAAAAATTTATTATAGTGTTGTTTTATGTTATAGTTGTATTTAAAAATTCAGACGTGTTTATTATGGTTATGTACCTATTTAAAATAAAACACTGTTTATAACATTTAACCACGGGGAGTTCTGTTTTTGTTAATAAACTAGTTATACTACCAAATGATTAAAAAATAAAAATGTATTTTGTAAACGTACATTTTAATATAAAGCCTAATATTTTCTGTATTGATTTTTAGTACAAACTTTGGTCATATAATTAGATTTATGTAAAGAAAATATATTTTATATATATATATATATTAAGATACTATCTGAGATAATTTTTCCAGTGATATTAATACAAACAAAGACATAATATAATGTCTTAGGTATATAATAGTTAGTTATACCGAGTTTAATTTTAAGGAATTCTGAACAAGACTACTGCGATAAAGATAGAACCTGTTGAATTATATCTAGAACATAATGAAAGTCATCAAAATATAACGACCTAAGCAAAGAACTATGAAACCATGTCACTACGATCAAGTAAAGATTGGAATAATGTATCATAAACCTAAATTTATTGTTCACATATTTATATGTTATATAAGTTAATTTTTACCAAAATAATTATAATAATACATATATTATATTTATCAAAGTCTATAACCTGGGTACCTAGTTCATTACTTCAATATTAACCTCACGACTACTGTCTTGCTCACGACTACTGTATTAACCTAACATAATAAATTATATATTACAAATAATATTATATTCATACCTATACAATGTATACATATATGATTTTATTAATGTTCATATTATGAAAATTATATCGCAGAATTGTCAATCTATGATTTTCATAACGATAATTTGTGAACGCAGTTCGATAAAAATCTAAGACTTTATAAATTAAACTATAATATTGTATAATAATTTATTATCTGGTTGAATTGTTTAAATATCAAAATATAACACGATATTATAATGTTATTTATTTACATCACTACGGTTTACTAATAAACAGACTACTCACAATAAAATATTATTTTGTTGTACGCGCGCGTTGAACTCTATTTTCTGTAAAAATATGTATTTTTCGAAAGAATTTTTGATAGGAATTTCCTTCGCTTCCATCGGTATAGCAGGAGTGTCTTTCCTATTGTCAAGGAGAAAAAATCCAACTACCCATGGATATGGAATGAAAAACAAGGAAGACTTCTTGGAGGTAAACAAAATATAATACATAATATCATGTAGGTTTATATTATAATAATAAACGTTTAAATTCTATAATATTTGTCATTTTTAGTATAACCAACATATTAATTAGTTTCGGAGCAAAAACCTTGTGTGACTGGAGTGCATACCTGCAGGTTCTTGCTCTGAAATGTAATAACCTGGTAAGTCCATTTTGCTTATATTATCTCCGTAACTAATAATCGGACATAACGGTTTGTTACACCGAAATGTGTAGTTTATTTCCTGATCAGAAAACCACAGTAAAAATACTTTTTTGAAAAAGGGGACATATCAGGTTTTTCACAGAAGAATTCCATACTTTTTAGCTTAGATAGGTATAGCCAGGTACAAATATTTACCATAAGTGCCAATTTACACTTATGAGTTTGTAAATTTAAGTATTAGTAACAGTTGAAATTCACTAACTTTTAACTTGCATATTTAATTATTAATCTGCAACTAATATGAAATAATTACAAGTCACATAATATTATATTATGTTGGTAATTTGCAATCCATATCAATAGTTAAATTTACAAATCATAAATATGAGTAAACTTCAACCATGGACCTTCTGATAATTTTACACATTAAATAGGTTAATACAATATTAATTCAACTTCGATATGATTTTAAATTTACAAGTAATGCGAATATATAATAATATAGTACCTATTTATATTAATAGGACGAAAACGATAAGTTTTTCGATGCGGAATCGAAAAGTTTTCGGTCCGTGTCCGATGATGAATTCGTAAGTTGTCGGACCATGTCCGATGAGGATTCGAGAAGTTTTCAGACCATGCCCGATGAAAACTTGAACGATAACACAAAGATCGTAAAATCAATAGGAGGTCAGTTTTCCATATGATATTGAGTATAATTTTTTAATTAAAACTATTTTCATATAATTCCATACTTTCTAGAACTGTATATGGATGCGGTGGAAAAGCAGGCGTTCGAGCACCTACAAGTATGAAACTAAGAACGGCTTTAGAACAATCGAATGTAATCATATAATATCGCAGTGCTGATAAACGGTTTTGATTTGATTTTCAGCATAACTTTAAAGTGGTTGAAATGAATTGTTTGGAGTTGAAACATCACGTGGCCGACGCAATGTATACCTTTCAACAGACGGCCGACGATAAGCGCCTATCGATCGACAGCCTGAAATTAGAAGTGTCTAGCCTTAAAAAGGATTTGAACCGTTTGACCTCCGATCTGCTGAAAAATACAGAGATGCAGTCCGTGGAAAGTAATATTATATAATATATCGACCTGACTATACCCATAACAGTGTAATACATTAGTCGTTTCCGTTCGTTTAGCAAACACCGAAAAACCCGACGGCTGCAAGCTACGTAGACTGAAGACAAGGGTCATAATATAGAAAAATAACGGTTAATAGACAATAAAGTACTAATGACGTGTGCTCGTGTAGGTGATGTGACGAAAAACTCGATAGATATCGTTGGAATAAACCACATGCTGATGTTAAAGTTGACGAGCTCGGGGGCTGCCGCTGAAAATGATGTGTCGGCAGGAGAAAACCTTTTCGAGCTGGACACTCTGAACGCGCAATGCCACAAACCTACCTCGCCGACGACGTCCGCATCCTTTACACCCGTCGCAGGCCCGCCTCCTGCGGTAACCTCGGAAAATTTTTGGCCGCCACCTCCACCTCCTGCAGTAACCTCGGAAAACGTTTGGCCACCTCCTCCGTCTCATGCTGTAACCTCAGAACATTTTTGGCTGCCTCCTTCGCCTCCTGCTGTAACCTCGGAAGATTTTTGGCCGGCACCTCCGTCTCCTGCAGAAACCTCGGAAAACTTTTGGCTGCCTCCTCCGCCTCCTGCTGTAACCTCGGAACATTTTTGGCCGCCTCCTCCTCATTTGTGTAACATATTATGTATTAGGTATGTGTATTTCTGCGAATAAACCTGTTTAATAAAATATACCCGACGTATTTGTTTTATAATGTAGGTTTTCAAATTACCGTTACTATATTATTATGAGTTATTAAAGTCTCACTATAAGACTTTAATCATTTTTAAGTCCTGAAAAATTAAATGCATAATAGGTATAGTTAAGAATTTTGATGGAAATAATAAATAGTATAATAGTCATATAAATAGTTGTGTTTTATCTAAATAATTATCTAAGATAAAAAATTCATCCATCTAGATAAATTCGTCTCTATACAAAAAAAATATATATACTTTTTACTGTAATATCTAAGCCTAACTGTCAAATGTTAGACTTTATAGTATGTATTAAATGTATACAAATGTATTTATCTTTAATCTTTATCTAGATAGATTTGAATTTAGTTATCTTTTATCTTTATCTAGATAAAAAAGTACTTATCTAATCCCAACACTGGGATATATATGCATACAAAGTATATCTATATATTTAAATGTGAAAATGAAAACCTTTGGGGTCTGTGTTCTCGGAAACTATTGAACCAATCGTTATGATTTTTTTTTAAATTAAAGAGCTCATTGCGGAGAAGGTTTATGGCATTTGATCGATTCTCTAACTTAATAAACAAAGGATTATAACTAATGGCCTGTTACGTAGATTTGGCCACATGGCAAGCATTCTGGGTTACCTGCTATACAATAGCCAAAGACCGTCGACCGTTGACCGCAGATAAGACCGTACGACGGATCCACGGAAGGAAAAATGAGAATCATAAAACTGCAGTTCTTATCTCTGTCCCTCTCGCACTTCGCATACAACCAACGCGTGCGAGTGATCCAAAACTCATTT